CAATGTTGTTGTAACAAAGAATAGAGGCCAACATATTTTATATTCGTTATATCGATGGCTTAAGGGCTTCTGTCTACTTTACGAAACGTTTTTCAAAGGCGTTGGAAGATGAAGTCAACAGTTCCCGTGTTTTTTTTGTTGTTTTTTTTTTTCACTTTAAATTCTGAATTTTAAAAAAATCGGCACTTCAGATGCATATTGGTTTCCGATTTTTATCGTTGGGTGAAAACCTGATGCGAATTTTCAATGTGGTAGTATGTGTTTTGTAGGTATGTATTCTGAGAAATGTATCTTTTTTTTAGTTATCATGCTGAACTCATACATCTCACTTTCTGGAGGTCATCCACTAAATGGTTCTGGATTTAAATTTTAATTTCTTGGCATTAAAAAAGGATGTCATGTCTACAAAGATGTACACCATGAGGTTACTGTTTAAACAAAACACTGATTATGTTATTTTCATAGCAACACTTTATAAATACATCATAATTGCTTTAACTCTTTTTTTAACTTTTTTGGTGCTGATTTAAATGCATTATATCAGAAAAGACAATCTTACAGAGACACATGCTAAACCATATAGCTAAGATAGTGTATTTTCTTCATTTTTGTTCCAAATCTAAGTAACAAGATTTTTAACATGAATATTATTTCAAGATCCTTAGGAACTTCTTTTCTCCAATGTCAAATCAATTTCATAATTACCGCCTAACGTCATTGGGTAGGTCTAAATCTTCAAACCCACCTGCATTTCAGCGTACTTGTAAGGGTAAAGGTAAAAAAGCAATGTTCAAATAAACCATGATGTTCGCAAAAACTTTTTCTTTTAATCTATTTCAGGTCGCAGCTCAGCTGTTGCTCCTCAGTGTCTCAACCGTGTTTGGATTCTCTAAAGGTCCTCCATTGAGTGCCTGCGAGAATAAGTTCCCTCACCACAAAAGGGCTGTGGCACAACAAGGACTGCCTCCTTATAACATCTCTGTGTCCTCACTTTTGTATAACCCTGGAGACAACCTGACAGTGATCATCTCAGGATCACAGCCTTTTAAGGGATTCATTTTAAATGCACAGGGGACTGAAAGCTCGATTCCTCGGCCAGTAGGAACATTTACTCAAATTCCAAGTTGTATGTATTCTCTAAACTTCTTCTTCTACTTCTCGCACATAATTCAAGACATCTGATAAAGTAACTTTTTCTTTGTCTTCTATGAATTTAAGGTGAAAATAAGGGGTTCCTAGGTCTTTCTCAACCAGGGAAGAAATTGTTTATAACGTCGAAACTTGAATGCCAAAAAAATCCCAGTAAAACGCTTATATAGGACTTCTCCTTCTTCTGCTGACATCCCTGGGACATCAAATTGGACACAAGTACTATCTCTTTAACTGTTCTTGCAAACAAACAAAAAAAGGAAACAGGAGTCCTGGCTGATGAAGGATAGAACATTTCTGGCCAATCTTTGGTGAAAGAATGGCAATTATACCTTTTCTTTTTTTTGGAAGCATTGGTGGACAAGCGGACATATTTTTATTTTTCTTGCAGATACAGCTTCTCTTGACTGTTCTGGAGATGAGGTAAGGTATTGCATACTTATTTCAAATTCTTTTTCAGATAATAAGCACTATAGGTGTCTTGGCAGAGGAAACTATTGTTTTTTTTTCTGCTCATATTTAGGACACAGTTGGTCATAAAAATCCTAACCCAGCTAAGAACTTGAATTCACTTCAGTTCACTTGGATGGCTCCTGAAAAGAGTGCAGGGAACATCAGCTTCATGTCAGTAACATATTTGTTTTTTTGAAGGTCATAATATGTACATAGCTTAAACTTGTTAACATGAGGGGTGGGATGGGGGGTTGGCTGTGGAATGTAATGTGTCAGTCTATTTGAACTCAAGCATTTGAACTTTTGAAAATTGGTTTAACAAAAACCCATTCTTAAGGGCCAAAATTGAGTTTAATGTCCTTCCCAAGTGTCAGATTTGATGGTCAATTATTTGGTGAAACCTAAAACCTGGACCTTGTAGACCTTTCCTCCTCAGGGCCATCTGCTTGCAAAAGTCAACTCTTTTCCTTTAAGTACCTCCATATTGAAAGATACAACTGGAAAGACTTGATACTAAATACTTCTGGTTCAAATTCCCCACCCCACAGGCTGGGCACGAAGGACAATCAAATGTTTGTGGAATGCATGAGGGGGGATGTTGAAGCTTTGAATTGATTGTTGCATTATTGTAAGTGTTTTGTTGGAAGTTGAAATGTACTGAACCCTTTGTGCAAGGCACTTTATAGTTATAATTGCATAGACAGAGTTCCTACAGGAAATATTTGAGATATGCAGCAGCCAATGTTTAAATATGCAGTCCCTGCCTTTTGTAGATTTTCATGTGTTATTTATTTTCTATATACAGTGCAACCATTGTTCAGAACTATTCCACTTTCTGGGAAAAAGTTTCTTCTCCTGTGGTTCATGGTCCACCAGCAGAGGGTCCCACTAGTGGGACTTCAACAGAGAGCTCTCAGGTGAGCCCAATGATCAAAAAATGGGCCCAGCTAATATAGGGAGGGGAAGAACCTTAGGAATGAGCTTGCAGAGTGTCATTCACAAGGGTTTTACTCTTGTGTTCTAGTCACAAAAGATAACCAAAGATGGATGCGGGAAGACAAAGAGCTGCTATTCTGAGCCTGCAAATTGCAAGTCCAGCAAAGACTGTGAATATCTTGTGACCATAAAACCAGAGGGGGACCAGTGTGAGTCAGTGGAATTTGAGCTTAGCACCAAGAAACAATGGGGGGCCATTGGTTTTAACAGTGAAAAGAACAAGATGGTGAGAAAAATAAATTGTAGTTATTGAAATTTTAAACTCA